TATAAGAAATCTGGTGGTAATCACCATGGATTTTTTCCTTTAGTCTTGCAATGTTTCCATTAGTGCTCAGACTTTTAAGACTTTTTATAGTCTTAAACCTTTTTTACATTTTTATTAAAAATACTGCCAGAAAGGTTCCTTGAGCAAGACTGAAACTGAAATGTATTTTCAGGTTTTTGGAAAGTCCCTCTCATTTTTTTTGTGGATCTGGCAACAGTGTCATTAATCTAGCTGTTCTTGTCAGTATCTAATTTGATCAGGCCACATCTAGTAGACGTAATTGACTTCTGCTATAGGATTGCATCTCAAATGCATTTATTTATCATTCATAATCCACACCTAAGAACAAGGAATCAACAGGAAACTGGTTTTGCCATCGTTTGGAAATAATTGTGATTATTTCCTCTACGGCTTCAGCTGTGGTGCTTGAACTGAAGAGCAAGGATCCAAAAGACTGCCATTTTGTTATTTGGCTTGGGGCTACACAAGATTGGGAAGTCTAGATAGTCAAGTTATACTGAAATATGATGATAACATTTCTACACTACTCAGAATCATTGGATCCTCCAAGTGTTTTTCTCATCTTATCCCCAGGAGAACTAGGGCTTTTTCTGATTTACTGGAGAAACAAACTCACAACCAAAGCTGAAGTTTTCCAGTCCAGTTCTAAGCAGTCCTAGCATTCTACAAGGATCTCTCTACTTATTGATTTGTCTCATTAGACTGTGCATAATACAATTTTTCTCTTAACTTTTGAGTCTGATATTTTTGGAAAGAAAGACCAGGTCCCTAGGAAATTAAGAATCTAAATGCCTTTGAAATTGTGGCAGAACTGCCTAATTATTTAAAAATTGTACATCTGGCTCTTGACTAGCTTGATTGATTAATTTCTTACAGTTAGTACTGAAATCACCAATAGCACTGAAAATGTGTATTTTCCTCAGTATGTTATGATGAACATTTGCTTTGAGTAATATGCTGTCTTTTGTTGAGAATTGTTGGAGGAATACAAATCAAAACATTCTCAAACCAAGAAAATTTTCTTCAAAGGGAGAAGCCTTCAAGAGAGTCCGGAAACAGTGGTATTCTCCAAGTTACTCTAAACTTGTTTTTCTCCAAATGACTTGGGTGCTTGCATCACTTTCCAAAGCTTTCCCTTGCTAAACCATCACTGACTAGCAGATCATAACAAAATAGGTTAAAAAAAAAAAAAGAAAAGAAAAAGGGGGAAAAAAAGGTAAAATTAATTTTTCACCTCTTCTTGAAAGTGAGAAATTTGCAGAGGCAGAATTGCAGAGCAAGCAGAAAATCTCTTTAATAAAAGAAGGAAGTCACTGCTTTTTTGGTAAAAAGTATCTCCTAGCTGCTATTTGATAAAGGTGATGCTGATAATCCCGTACACAAAAAAAAGGAATAACGATCCTTTAGGCTTTTCTTTTTTCTATTTGTTTTTCAGTAATGAATAGCTTATTTGGTCTCATTTGAACATTTTAAACTTGTTATGCTGGAGTGATTTTGTAAATAGAATTAGAGCTGATTTCCCCCAGTCCGTTAAATGTTGCAAATAGTTCTGGGAGCCAAATGAGCATTTTGTTCTTATGCAAGTAGCAGAAGCATACAGACCTACATACTTTGAACCACAATGACTTTATAGCCATAATATTGCCATATCTGTCCTCAACTGTTTTAAAATCAAAGCAAGCATCTAGATAGCTACACATGGAACTTTCTGTGAAATCATGTCTAATGAGTCCACAAAAAAGTGCCGAAGTTCTACATGAGTTTGTTGCACATCAAGTGTACAGGCAGCAAGAGTGATAAAGTATTGCCTGTCATTTTAACTTTTCTTGATGCTTTTAAATAGCTATGAGCGCTATCGCATAATCAGTATAAGTTTGAGAACATTATTAGAGGACGTTTACCTGATTAATGTTGTTGCATGAACAGTTTAGCTCCAATTCTGGTTTTTAATTTATTCACAGAGGGCACTTGTATTGATAAAATGTGACAGGGATAACTTTGTTTTCTTTGAAAACTGTTTTAGCCCTTTTTTTCTGCTATCCTTGATGTTATGCAAAATTACCAGACATTCCTAAATTGACCTTTGACATGGAACATTATATTTCAAAATTCCTTTGAGGGTAAAGGGAATTTTTTTTTTTGTCACAATGTATGATTGAATTATTTCCTGAAGAGGTGGCTGAATTATCTGATCTTACGGAATTAAGTACTATATCACAATCACTACAATCAAAATGGCATGTGAAAAAGATTGTTCTACAAGTGACTTTCTTGCCTCTGCAAAACCCAGTCAGAAATTCCTATTATCCTTTCTGTAGAATTTCCAGGTGTGCACCCCGCATCTGCTGTCTCCTCAATGAAGTGTAGGACCACACTGGTAGTCCGAGTTAAGAGAGGTGGCTTTTTTAAAGTGATATATTTTGGCAAAGTTTAATGTTTTTAAGCCTATAAGAATGTTGGGGGGAAAAAAACTCAGTACGCTGTAAAATGGATGAGGAGGGAGAAGAGAGTATCCAGCTTCCTTCTCATGTGTTAGCTTCAGTGTCTTTGAGACACTGCGGAGAGATGCATCTTACAGGGTAGAAACTGATCAACACTGACCTCCACCACACAGCTGAACAAAGATTTAGAAGTGTCTTTAAAATGGAGTATGTGCCTCATTCTATTCAAAGTACTATTCAGCATATAACTTTCAGGCAATTACTTTAACAAAGACACCAGTATGACTAATGGCCTTTAGCATTGTCAGCCACATGAGATCTAAGAGGTCCCAGATACTCAGTAATTAAAAAGCTGTTTGATTGCTAAGGCAATATAAAAATAGTTATTATCTAGGATACATCGAAACGTCAAACCTGAATCTTAAACTATGAAAAAAGTTTTCAGATTTGTGGAGTTTGTAGTGTGGAAGCTTTCACAGATGAAGCAGCTAAGCAAATGGTTATAAGGCTGTGGATGTAACTGTTCTTTTAAATATATCTGTGTTCCTGTGATAGTGTTGTGTTGTTAATGAACCTTGTGTCTTATTTCAGAGAGATTCCCCCTCTACATCCAGACAGTCCCCAGCTAATGGTCATAGCAGCACTAACAATTCTGTTTCGGTAAGATTTCCAGTTCCACACAGAGAAAGTGTGAAAGTTTTGTTGGTGCTCATCTGCCATTACTGTTATACTTATTGTGTGGTCAGTGGAAAATTTTGTCCTGCTGATAGAACCAAGGTTATTACATATGTACCTCCCCATTTTCTTTTTTTTAAGGGTTTTTTCCAACATATTCTTCTCATTAAAAGCCATATAGTGAATTAAATGTTAATAACTGTAATGTGACACTTCAATCATCCTGAAATCATTGTTAGCAGTTTCCTCAAAACTAAGCAAAGGTTTCAAGTGGAAGTTTTATTTCCATCCTGAACTTTGGAAGCAGTGTTTGAAGAAAGAATAACTGTGCAGTTGGTATTTCAAGACATTTGAGACTCTTTTTAAGTTTTGTGTTTTGAGAGACCTCTGGAACGTGTACTGGTTTCCGCTATCTGAGTTAACGAATTGGTGTGCCCTCTGCTGTTGTGGTACGTGCACATACTTTGTGAAATATGAGCCTTGCCTGGATATGAAAAGCAAAAGGAAGTGGCTTTAAACTGCACTACAAACCAAGCTATTATCATCACATCTTTAACACAAAGTACTTCTGTTTCATATGTATTCAGGTAGAAAGATGCCGTTGGTCTCCTGTTTTTCTAAAGTACAGTAATGTTAAAATTTGTGTTGTTTATCATTTGTCGTTGTTTGGACCAGTGTAGTAACTGTACACGCAAGTTCCTTCAGTAAGAGTGCTGTCAATATCATGAGTTCATGGGACTAGCTAAAAAAAACCAAAACTGAGTAACTACTCCTTTAACTATTAAAAAAATTACAACTTAGAAATTATTTGCCACAAGGTAAAGTGCTTATTAATTAATACAATGAAAAATAATTGTGGATGAAAAATTTAAGACATTTTTGTGAATTAAATTGAATTTGTACCACGATTAGTAGTTATAATTTTATTCCTCAGAACAACTAATCACATTATACATTTTTAATAATAAAATTTTTAATATTTATAATAGTTTTCCTTCTCTTTTAAAAACAAGACTAAGTATTAAGTGGAAAAGGCATTCACATGAAGAGCCTCTTTCACTTGATGGTGCTTTTGTGTTGAAGATGCTGAATTATTTATTAAAAAGCACATTTTCTATCTGCTTAAACTTTTTACCTGCTTTCTTCAGCTTGCTGCTAAACAGCCTGGGTTTGATTTTTCTTTAAGAAAAAAATATCTCTAAACATGGGTCAATGCTTTATACTTTTGTCTGACTTACCATTTTACTGTAATGTAGTATGAATCACTAACAAATGGTGTTGTATACCCTTAAAAAATAAAATGAAAATTTCTTCTCCTGGGTTGACTTTATTCTGCAGGACTTGCCATCGACAACACAACCAAAAGGACGACAGGTGAATAGATATCCTCCATGGGAATTTTTGTAAACTTAGCTGCTAGTGAACATCCCTGCTTATCTTTTTCCCCCTCATATTCTGTATGTGCTGGACTAAAACATTTAAGCTTGGAAAATTTGTTCCATTTTTTTCATTTTTCTTTTTAACTCATTTGTTTGTGGCTAATTCAAAATAGCAATTTTTCATGTGTCCATATGTGTGAGAGTTACAAAGTCATTGTAAATTTAACTGGAGTTGTTTTAGTTTAGAATGCATTAATAGACTTATTGTTGTGCAATGACCTGTGCAGGTTTTCATCTTGGAGGAAAGCTCAAATTTATACTTTAGCTGAAATGGAGACTAGTATGGCAAGTGTCTAATACTCTAAAAAATTGTACTGACAAAGATTCTAAAGCTTGAGTTGGTCTATAACTAATTATTAACATTAAGAAAACTCTTCAAAGAAAAACATTAAGGACAGTTTCTATTGAGAGTTGATAAGTCTGAAGATAGCCTCTTATATTTTCAGTCCTAAGGCCCAGATTCAGTAACCTCCCTTAACTTTGTTACCTTGACAGTAGTACATGTCGTCATGGACCAAAGAACGACCTTCCCTCTCCAGAGTATTCCAAGAAAGCCCTTAAGGGCTCTGCAGAGGATTCGCTATGATTCCCTTTGCAGTTTTCAGAATTTATTTTTTTTTTACTGCAACCTCCAAATCAACACATACCTTCAAGAGATTTGTGATTCATCTTCAGTAACTGCTCCATTTATATATAGCCCTTCCAGAATCTGCCTCTGAATCTTAATGTGGACTCAACCTCTTACTCTGCCAAGGGTTTCAATAATAACTCTTGCAGTTCCATCCAAAAGAGTCAATGGACTCCATGATCTGTTGTCTTTAACAATCTTTTTATACTACTGTCTGGTTAAGTTGGCTGGAATATCAGTTACAAGGATGGATTGCTTTCACTTCGTTTCCCATTTTTAAAGCTTACAGCTATATGGTTCTTTCAAATTTCTGTTGTCTTCTGAAGTTTCCAGCTGCCTGAATGTAGTCCTGGAAAGGCTCCACAAAAGACCTTCCAAGCTGTTGTGTTAGGTTTTGGTTTTCCTCTCATAAGGTATTTTTCCCAGGAGAAGAGAGTTTGTTCAAGGCAATATCAGAATAATGGTGTTCCTCGTACTCGCACCATTTATAGTTACCTGTTTTTTTTCAAGAGTCTTTTCCCATTGAACCAGCGTATTTTTCTGGTAGCTTGTCATCCTTGAAGACAGTAAGGGCTTCGATAACAGATACATTGCTATCTGTAAGGAAGTCTGTAACATTCCATGAACAGTCAATATATGGTAGATAATGGCTCAAACTGGAGCAGGGACTTGAAAAGCAAGGAAGTTTCTAGATGGTAAAAATACTGCTCACTTTTCTAGACCTATGTTAGATAAGGTTGAGGGGAAATAAGGGATTGGTTCAATACTGATTACTTCATAGAAAGCCAATTACTAAAGAAAAGTAGTTGGTTTCAAAATATCCTATTTTTCAGGTGATTAAAAGAAGTTGGGTTGCTTGTGGAAGCTCACACAATGCACAGCAGAACAAGGGTCAGATTTAGTATATTAAAAATTGAGTTCTATATTGGTATTATCATCTGATGCTCTCACTGTAAACAGATAAAAATGCATCAGGTACAAGATAGTCCTGATTAGCCATGTTAAGTTAATTTATTCGTATGTTGGGTTGCAGATTGGATTACTACAGAAATAAACTTTTAAAAGTGCCATGAATAGTGCTCACACTGCATAGTTACAGCTATTTTTGGAGCAGAATTTGAGCAAAGTTGAAAAGTGTTTGTTACAGTTTAAATGAAGGGTATTACTTTGCAATGTAAATTTTTTTTTTTTAAATCTAGTCAATTTATAGTAAGAAAATCAGCAGTAGAATATACATGGCTGTCGGAGATGCTATAGGGTGATGTTTGAAGTTCATAAACTGTAGAAATTACCCATCTTGTACATGACATTTAATTCCAATTTTAAGATTCTTGGATGCATCAGGGCTGTAATTAGCAACCAAAACTGGAGATCACTTTTATTTTTATTTTCTAGGGTTGAGACCTCATTAACCCACAAAGCAAGGATTGGTATATTATTTTAAATTGTGAAGTCAGAATCTTAATTCTTTCTGTTAATGTTCCTTAGAGAAAAACTTACTCAAATCATTAGTTTTCATTTATATGGGAGTAAACTTTTACTGAAAAACCCATGCAGAGAATTCCCAGATTCCTCCCAAGTAACTGTATGTGATAAATGCAACACAGGACTTCCTATTTAATCTAAAAAAAAAACCCAAAGGTACTTTTTTCAGTCTGAATACTAAAGATCAGTAATGTAGCCTAAGTCCTTTATACTGTCCAATAAAATTTCCTGTCATACAAATTTTTAAAACATATCATGGGACTTCAGTTGGAAAGTACAGTACAGTTCAAGTTGTAAGCTGCTGGCTTTTAGTCTGTAATGATTCATGATAGTTAATACTGATTTGATGTAGCTTATTAGTTTATATTACGTGTTCATTTTTGCTGTTCGGGTTTTACAGTATGTAGAAGACATGAGCTTTCAAAATAACATCATAAGTCTCCATTGTTTGCTGGGGGGGGTTCTGTTTCATTTTCAACTATCACTTATGCTTTTGCCATTCTGTTTCTTCCTTTGCTTGTTGCAAACAGTATGTGTAGCTACATGCACAGATCAAATTTTCACCTGTTACTCTTACTACTGTACCAGTAATAATACCGCAGTGTCTTTCATAAACTCTTTTTTATAGATATATGTAAGAGCACAATTTGAATATGATCCAGCAAAGGATGACCTCATTCCTTGCAAAGAAGCTGGCATCAGATTCCGAGTTGGTGATATTATCCAAATCATTAGCAAAGATGATCACAACTGGTGGCAGGGTAAACTTGAGAACTCCAAAAATGGTACTGCAGGTCTTATTCCTTCTCCTGAACTTCAAGAATGGTATGACTTAAGTTTTCTATAAAAATGAATTTAGCTTTGCTTTTATTTCTGTCTTTCACGCTTTTCATTTGTTGTATAGCTAGTTTTTGTGTAATTTTTTTCTTTTTTCAAAAAAAAGTCTATATATTGTCTCAGTTTGTGTGGCATTGATTTTTTTTTTTTGTCCTCGTATATGCATAGCAGTAAGGGTTGCATGCAATATCGTATGTGTGGTTACATTAGAAAAATAAACACCTGTGTTAGTAAACATTGTGCTTTGTGATATACTATAGGAAACCAGGATTGAAAGCTACATACAAATTGTTTATGTAAAGGGGTCAAGTTAATTTCTCTTTAAGGTTTTAAACAGTGTTTTCATTAGTACTGCTTACGTGAGAGTGCTGCAGGAATAAGGTGTTAGCAAGATGTCAAGCACAAAGATCATTGAGGGAGTCTGGGGGTTTTCTCTCCTTTTCATTTTTCATGTGAAAGCCAAAAAGTAGAAAGAAGTCACAGTGCAAAGATTCCTGAATGACAGATTCAATGAACAGCAATGGCACTGAGTACTGCAAAAGCAATGCAGAGCCTTTAAATAACCTCTTGCAGAAGCTGTTTAGTAAATATTTTAAATGTATCGGCACAAACTCTGGCAAGCAAGTCCTGGGCCATGAAAGTCATGGCCATAACTCCAGAAAGTTTATCAATATGGATAATCTAGCCCAAAATATTTCATACAAGATTTCATACAGAAAAGAATTAGAGTGCTGTAAAGGATTTAACAGCACCTGTGCCACCTAGACTGGCTAAGGGAGATTTTGCTAGAAGAGAAACAGAGGCAGACAAGACATTTCATTCCATCTCAAGAGCTCCCTTGCAAGCCCTGACATAAGGGAGACACTGGTATGCATTGCAACAGGAACACTTGCAATACTTCATCCTAAAGATTGACCTCAAAACAGTTCCTCAACACAACTTGCTCTGAAGTAATTTAGACCATAGCGGTCTTTTCAGACCTCATGCTCTTCCCGTCTAATCTGCTGCAAAGTGCTCTACAGCCATTTTAGTAGCTACCCTTCCTCCCATGCTCACTTGATCTGTGAGCTTTAATGATCTACCTCTAAGAAGATATTCTTTATATCAAAATACCTCTGTATATAAGTGCTTTTAAGTCATCAAAAAAAAAGGGTTTGAAAAGTTTTCCTGTACTCTTGTACTATTAAAAAGTCTTATTTTTATAATTCATTCTGTGTGACTTTTTAAAAATGCATTGCTTACAACAAAAAAATTTTTTTCTCCTCCATATGCCAGGCGAGTTGCTTGTATTGCCATGGAGAAGACCAAACAGGAGCAACAGGCCAGCTGTACTTGGTTTGGAAAGAAAAAAAAGCAGTACAAAGACAAATATTTGGCAAAGCACAATGCAGGTATGAAAAAAAAATGCAAGTATCTTTAAAAGGTTAAATTTTTTACAAGCTAAACCTTGCCATTAATTGTTCAGCTGGCACTGTTATATAAACCTAATGAGCTACTTAGGAAAATATAAGTAAAATTCTAATTATGCCAGCATTACTCTGCTTGTTCTTGGCTATTTAAACATACAGCTTAATCGGTGAGAGGCAAGCTGCAACAAAATAAATGCATCATAATATATCCTAATATAGGCTTACATTGTTTTCTGTTTTATACTTAAAGGAGCACTAGAAACAAACAGGATATGAATTTTGCGATCTATATAACTGTACTGTGCTCTACAGAAGGCTTTTCAGTAGCATCCTTGTTAATATGTGTTTATAGTTATAGACTATATATGTGAGAACATCATGAAAGGGCATTTTTGTTGAAGCGTTACAGCCGGAAGTGGAATAAGAGCCATTGCGTAGCCAGTCTGTTATTTACAGTTACCGAATAGAACAAACTGTGGAAGTTGATCCTCCTTGCAGTGATTTCTGCCTGAATCCTAAGTTTTGGTTTTCTATTTAGACTGCTGAAAAATTGAATTGTTTTAGAAAATTTTGAAAGTAGAAGTGTAGAGTAAGAGATCCTTGCTGAGCAAAATTCATTAGTTTTAGTAGTAAAGAAGGAAGACCCCTTTGTTCATGAGCGGAATTTAGTTCTTTTCTTCTTTTTAATATAAAATACTCGATGTGTTGAAACTGTTTCTATTGCTTTTGCATAGATATCACATACTGTGACGATAAATATGTTGTTGTGGTCTCTTGGGAGACTTGCAGAGACTTTTATTAGAATTTAAAAGATATACCTGTCCAAACAGTGTAATGAAAGTGTTTTATATATTGCATTAATTTCTGGGGTTTTTTCAGTTGCATTCTTGAGTGCACCAGTTAAACAATATAAATCTTTATTTTCACATTTCTTCTTACCTGTACAATCTGTGTAAAGTATCAGAGCTCATAATTTATCAGTACTACAGAATTTATGTTTACTTAAAAGTCATTCGAAAATAAAATCTAATAAAGTCAAAGAACAGTAATTGTCATTTATACTCCTTAATTCACCGTCACATTTAAGATGATCACAGTTAAATACAAAATTACTCGTTACCCTGAAAACGCTTACATGTAGAGATTGAAAGCTTTAACTTGTTTCCTTCCTTTTGCTGGTTTAACATTCTGGTTGTTTTAATGTTTCGACTTCATTGCAGTAGCACTGAACCATGTTTTACTAATGATGACCTTAACAAAAACTGTTGAGAATAAACTGGATTTTATGACCTAAAGTCTCTGACAACACTGGTTTTAAAGTATTATCAATTGGTCTCAGCATACACTCCCACAGCATTGCTGCTCCCTTCAGTTGTGCCAGTGTAACTTTGCGTGGCCATGCTGTTAACTGGATTAACTGAAGAGCAATCCAACAAAACACACTGATTCTTTTTCTTTAGGGCAGTTACATTTTTTAATACAGTTCACAGTGCAACTACATAGTTAATAATGTCAGTGTGACTAAGCACAGCATGCTACAAAGGAATAATCAAAGGAAAGAGGATGGCCAGGGAAGGAGAAGGAGCAGGCAGTACTTTAGGAGCAAAACTAGCTCAAAGACTTTGTATCAATTAAATCCCTGAAAGGAAGGTAATCCAGACTTTCTTATCTTGATTTAGGGGGACGTTTTGAAGAAGGTTGACAGCACTTTGAGTCGCATGGTTTGCCTGCCTTAGTGCTTGCCACCATCAGTGCTGTTCGTCACTTTACAGTGTTTGCCAAAAATTAGAAACATGAACATTAAAGATTATCAAAATGACCATAAAAGAAACTGTTCTTTTCAGAATACCATCTGACACTTCCCCTTCCCCCTGAGAAGTCAAAAAGTTAATGAAAACACAGATTGGAATCAAGATTTCTCTTAGAAATGTTCATTGATCTTAGTGTCCTTGAGGTATTAAAGGTAATACCACTAATATTCCGGGGAATGATGCCAAATGTAGCATATAAAGAGATTCACCGAAATGCTATGGTGCTCACATGAGTTTGTTAAGTTTAACTAAGGTGGTACTGAATTTACCTTCTCTGAACTACTCTCTCACGTCTGGTATTGTTAGTCACAAATATGGCAACACTGGCTTTTGCAAGCTTTCAGTGCATCTGTCTCAGAATAAAAAACAGATCTTTTCTTCTGTTGGATCCAAAATAAGTATAAGTAATTTGGAACTGAGAATTCTAATCCAGATGTCAAAATGTTGCTCTCACAAGAAAGTAGAATGTATTTCTCTATATCTTAGTATAAAATTCAATAAATCATTTAAAAGTATGTAATCTATTGGGACTTCCCTGTTACTTTTGTCTTAGAGATGAGACTGAACTGGGGTGCTGAGAAATGACCTAGTAAAATACTCCATAGTCAACTGAGATTTGTGTGGCTAGCTAATGATTTGAGAGCCAAGATTTTGCTGTGATATATTGGGATATTACTGGAACTAGAAATGAAATTATTCTGCAAATCAGGCATAGTTTGTGTGTAAAGAGGAGAATATTTCAGGTGCTTTTTATAATTAAAAGCAAATATGTTCTCCTTTACAAGAAAAATATCATCCCGTTTTTTCTTTCCTCCAAACTTGATACTAGAGTATTGTGTCCTTCAAGAGACAATTTCATGATCATACATCTTATCATTGTAAAGTTGGTTTTAGACCAAAGCCCACAGAAAAAATTAAATATTTTTCATTATTAGGTTCACTGACGTTTTTATAAATGCTCTAGAGATATACTGCAGTGATATCTAGATATATTTTTTTATTTATTTTACTGAAATGTTATTGCAGGACGTCATAAAAGAACACTCTTTAGAACATACTAGAACTATGCTTCATATTATGCATAATGTAGAAAATTGCCAAGCTTTTATAAAATATGTTTATCATTTCTTAATGTGATTTATTTGCCTTGTGTTTAGACTATTGCATGGTAAAGTTTATTTTGTGCATATACTTTTTATTTTACTAATATATTACGAGCCATATCTCAATGACCCCTGTACATTTTTCATGCTGTCTTACTCCCAATGGCCTCTGTGCATGTAAGTAACCTGTCAAGTGACAATGCCTCTTTATTTGCTTCTTACTGTTTCCTTTCAAGAACTCCTTTTCTTTATTAGCTAGTAACACAGAAGCATTAAAGTTCAGTCTTTAAATGTGCCCTGTATTCCTCCTATCTTGTGTATATTAAAAAATTAACCATTTTTCATTTGAAAACCCTACAATCATTAGTTAACTCCATGTAGACTGAGACACATCTTCTCCGTGCTGCTAGTTTGTGGTGAAGGCATTAATATGTATCATTTCTGTTGTTTGTTCCTGTTGTTTGTATCTAACATAATGTGGTTTTGTTCAAGAACAAAATAAAGGATTGATTTTTTTTTCATTATTTTTTAATGGGAAAAGATACTTGCAGGCCTAGATGGTTAGAATGGTAAAACTGTTTAACGTGTTGTAGATCTTTAGCCCTTTCTAATATGAAATGAATTATTAATTAGTTTAAATAGTGTGAAGGTGCAAAAAAGACAGTAGTAAGAATTCCATGTTTGTAGGTTTGCGAAATGGAAGAAAAATATGACTAAATTCTTGCTTGTAATATTTGGGGAAAGGTTGAAAGAGATTCTTGTTTAGAATTAAATTCAAATTGCTTCAAATGGACTAGGAAGTTTTCATACCTCTATCTTTTCAAGGTCTTAAATAGTTGAGTATGTCAATTGACTAATTTGTAGTTTGACCAAATTGAAGTAGTTGTATTTTTTCTCTAGGGTAAAAAGACTGCTGTTGAATTGAAAAATCTGCCCTATAAAAAGAAATACATTAAGTTAAATCCTTTGCTGCTTTAACTGGGACTTTAGTACAAAAGCATGTGCTTTCTGGTAGGCTCCACAGTCTTAATGATGATCTTGGTGGCTGGGGACTTCCGGAGCAAGCAAACTACAGCTCCTGCCACTGCCTACTTTCCTAAGGGGTTTTGGATAGGGGGAGAGGGAGAGGGATATATCCAGACTCATCCTAAAAGATGGATGGGGTATAGTTCAGGTGAATACACCAGCTTAGGACTTGGAAACACTCAAAGAATCCCATACTTTAGATGCAGTCTCTCCTCCCTTCTTTTTATAGCACGCATAAATACAGAACTGAAAACTCGTTTGTTATTCTGCTCACAATTGCTGATTTGTGTAATCTTTATAAATATAATTAACTGCCTCCTGGCTTCTTCTTTCATTAGAGTTCTGCAAGAATTACCACAGATGATGTGTTATTGGGCACAGGAGCAATAAGCTGTTTTTAATGAACAAAACTTGATTTGTCGATCATTACATACCTTGGCAATTGACAGTAGATTGATAGGCATGATGGAATTCATCCAATTTCAACTGCAGCTGAAATTATTTCTGAAATAATACTTTTACAATTTTTCCCTAAATACGGTGGAGGTTCTTTTATGTAATGCCATCACTTTTCGTTAGAATTCGTCATTCTGTCACAAGTTTTAAAAGCATGTCAATTTAACTAGCACATGTGTTTAAAGAGAACTCTAATTACAATTAATACAGTGGTAGCTTTGAAGAACATATACCACAAAGTATTAACACTCTTCTCTATACAATTCTCATAGATCTTGTTAAAACATGATTATGAAAGTATCCCTATCTTTAGTGTAAATAGATGTTCTCATATTGTATTCATGTTGGTCACTGTCTACAGATTTTTCTTTAGTATTGCTATTTCTTAGGAATGCAAACGTGAATGGCATGCCATTTTAGCTAATTTTTGTGGTCTGCTGAACACTGCATGAAAGGACATGCAAACTTTCCTGAGCATTTCAGTAGCTTTGTTATTGCTTTTTAACAGTTTTTTAAATGAATACTTGTTAAAATTGCATAATGAAATGGTTTTATTTTCCATAACATATTACTTTGTATTGTAAATGTAAAACTTGCTAAAATTATAATTTGTAGCACAATTAATTATCACCCTTAATATGCCTTTTTTTCTTATCCCTGTGGGGGTTTCTTTTGTGTTTTAGTGTTTGATCAATTAGATCTCGTCACGTATGAAGAAGTAGTAAAACTGCCAGCATTCAAAAGGAAAACACTAGTCTTACTAGGTAATTTTGAGTTATTAATCTGAACATAACAGCATAGTTTTGAACCCCTTCTGGTGGAAAATTTATAATTCATTTTTGTGTTGTGGATTAGGTGCACATGGTGTTGGAAGAAGACACATAAAAAACACACTCATCACAAAACACCCGGACAGATTTGCTTACCCCATTCCTCGTAAGTAGCAATGTTCAATGTAGTGCAGAATTGCTTGTAGCATCCTTGACAATATACCCATTGTAGTACTATATGTGTTCAGTTCTGCTGAGACGAATCCTGTCTTAAAGGTGGGAACTGTGTTAGGACTGGGTATATTTCTTCTTTTGTTTTTTCAGAGGGAGGGGTAGTAAGTAACACCATTTTTACATGGAATGTTTCCTAGCATTCACAAAACTTCTTGTTAAGCATACTTCTCTCTACCCCAAATGTTTGTTAATTCAGAATGAAGGCTAAAACATTTTTCATTTTTCTCTGCTAATCTTGCATTTACAGTTCAGCTAAGACTGGAACAGCCATGACGTTGAAAACTGTATATAATTCCCATGAGAAGAAGTATAAACTGGATTTAGAGGAAAACTTTAATGTGTACCTTATCTCAATGTTTTAAATTACTTTTCACAGCCTAGCCTTGAGGACTGGTATTATACTAAAATAACTTCAAGTTTCCAGAGACGACAATAAGAAAAAGAAAAAACGCAATTAACTTCACTGCTTAGAAGTGGGTTGTTACAAAGAGCACAGGGGTGTTTTCCCTTCATGACAATCTCTACCAATACCATGCACGAATTGCATATCCTACTACATGATCACTTGGAGATGCACCCTTTTTCCTCAAGCTAGGCATTCTGAAACAAGAGCATCCAGCTAAATCTGTCCACTCTATTTCAGGCTGATTTCAGAAGCACCATGCATGGCTCAGAAGTGACACTGATGACCATTATGCATTAATTTAATTTTCTTTATACCTTGCCAGTGCTTTACTTTAAAATTGCACTTAGGTGTTTTTCTACCTATAAGGCTTTTGTTGTTGCTAAAAAGTATTACTTTTAAGAACTTATCTGTAAACCTATTTGGAAGGGGAAAAGGATTAGTTTGCTGCTGATTTAAGTTCCCCAGGCTTGCTCGCTAAGGAGTTAGACAAAGACCAGTGCCAGCAGAAGGAAAACAGAAAGACCTAGCCCTTTTGAAAGCATGAACCATTAGACCACTCCAGCAGCAATGTGAAACTGCACTGTTTGTCACACTGCTGTTTATATCTCGACACTAAAATCCTGGATTAGACACTTTAAAAGTGCAGTGCCAGGAGTATGTGATGTACATTGTACCTATGTTATTCAATACAGACAAGACTATATAGGGGGAAGGGAGTAGTAACCCAGCAAATATGTTCTCCATTACAGAGAACTTAAAACAGTAATAAATGCTTTACAGCATGCTTTTCACCCAGTCTCTCTCAAGTACTAACTGTACTGCTGTGGGGAGGTAGAAGCTGAGCTAGTTATTTTATCTTCAAATGCCTATTAAAATGGACTCACCTATACCGTGACAAGCATGCCTTAGATTGCATCATCATCATCATCACCTGACCTCCAGCCCCACTCCAGAAGAGCAATCCTGCATTAGGTTCCTGCTCTGTGGAAGCACTGAAATTGCTTCACTGATTATGTAAGAAGACTAAAGAGACTAGACTGCAAATCAGGATGAAATTCAGGTGTTTAAGCATCAGTATGATGTTTAGATGCCTGTTTTAGACATCACCTGACCTCCAGCCCCACTCCAGAAGAGCAATGGTCTCCTTTAACGCCTGTGTTATATCTAATAGTCCTATGTGGGTGTTTCAGATCTAAGGCATTAAGGGCAGTTAAAATAGCACTTTATGCTGGTGTTTAGAGACCCAAATTACTTCCTTATGTTAGTGATATAAATAGATCATACAAAATATATCACATACACTTTAAGTATTATGGGAACCTGATCTGTCTTTCAGCTGACTCTAGGTAACTGAATTTATTCTTTCCAACTCTGAGGGATGGATTTTACTGCATTTTCTGCATTCTTTTACAAAACCGTGGTAGGAATAGGTAGCTTCTGAGATAGGCCTTAAGTTGGGTGTGGAGTTTTGGGGAATGCTTTATGAAGAAATTATCTACTTACTGAAAACCTGATCGTAAAGGTCATGGCACACACAATGGTACTTAATTAAAAGGATTAGTAGGCCATACATCTCTTACCACATACGTCTGCAGAAGCAATATATTTGAAAAGTATGTTATTGCTAAGTAGCTTTCATCTTTCTTGACCACAAGTAAGCAGGCGCTCACCCACTTTTCAGACTTATACTTTCACACTCAGAAGAAGAAAACCTCATAAGAATTTAAGTAAAAAAATGAAAATACAGAAATGCTTTTACAAAAGAAGAGGATTTGGGAGAAATGTAAGAGTATGTAAATTCAGTAGACCTAGGGCAGCAGTGAGTAGTATAGTGATATTATATGGTTTATATAATCCATTGTTCTTGAATTCCTTAAAATAATAACTATGATCTATAATATTTCTATAGAACTTTTCATCTTTAAAATATGCTAATTAATCCTCAGAACACTGCTAATTAAACCTCAGAACAGTAGTAGGTATAGTTAAAAATAGAAGATGAATTCAATTTTTGGATACCTTGTTTGAAATTATGATAGGGTTGTTGGAAGGTACGGGATTAGATTGGGAAGAGATGTGGTGTTTCAGATATGTCACCAACATAAATGTGATAGTGTAAAAATATAAGAGTAAATCAGTATGAGGGAATATTAGAAGAAAGATAACCGTGCCTGTGGGAAAAGAGGAGCAGATGACCTACAGAATCACAGAATGGTTGAGATCCTTACCTCTGGAGGTCATCTGGTCCAATCCCCCTGCTCAAGCAGGGCCACCTAGAGCCAGTTGCCAAGGACCATGTCCAGGTGGCTTCTGAATATCTCCAAGGATGGAGACTCCACCACCTCTCTGGGCAACCTGTGCCAGTGCTTGGTCACCTTCACAGTGAAAAAGTGTTTCCTTATATTCAGATGGAAGCTCCCATGTTTCAGCGTGTGCCCATTACCTCCTGTCCTGTCATTGAGCACCACTGAAAAGAGACTGGCTCCATCTTCTTTACACCTTCACTTTAGATATTTGTACTCATTGATGAGATCCCCCCTGAGCCTTGTCTTCTCCAGGCTGAACAGTCCCAGCTCTCTCAGCCTTTCCTCACAGGAGAGATGCTCCAGTCACTTAGTGCCCCTTCACTGGACTTTCTCCAGTATGTCCATGTCTCTCCTGTACTGGGGAGCCCAGAACTGGACCCCAGCACTCAGGTTTGGCCTCAGCAGTGCTGAGTAGAGGGGAAGAATCACCTCCCTCCAACTGCTACCAATACTTTGTCTAATGCAGCCCAGGATACATTTAGCCCTTCTTTGCCACAGGGGCACACTGCTGGCTCATGTTCAACTGAGTGTCTACCAGGACCCCCCACAGGGCCTTTTCTGGAGAGCTGCTTTCCAACTGATCAGCCCCCAGCACGTACTGGTGCATGGGGTTGTTCCTCCCCAGGTGCAGGACTTCACATTTCCCCTTGTTGAACTTCATGAGGTTCCTGTCAACCTCTTTCTCCAGCTTGTCAAGGTCCCTCTGGATGGCAGCACGACCCTCTGGTGTATCAGTCACTCCTCCCAGTTTTGTATCATTGGCATCCTTGCTGAGGGTACACTCCACCCCATCATCCAGATCATTAATGAAGATGTTGAACAGGATTGGGCCCAATACCAGCCCCTGGGGTAAAATGGAGATGTTAATTGAATTGTTTAGAAACTATTAAAAACTGCGAGATCTGGCCTTTGTTTGCTGTTGAAAGCAGCTGATAGAGTCTTATAGTCTTGACCAGGTAAAGGTTATTTATGACCTTCTGTTCTTCCTCTGTTACCTTTTGATTTTTACCTTTCCACATCCCTTCATCTCCTGCTTTTCCCAACACGCATCCCCCAGACTCCTGCTTTTCCCAGCTCCTGTCATTCTGCCTACCCCAAGCTCATGCTTCATTGTTCTGTATGTGATTTGACAGGTCATCATTCAGTGAATAAGTATTGATAAACCAAACAAAAAGCCATATATAAGCTTAATATTGCTTTTGTACTAAAAATATTTCGTATTTTCAGACACAACCCGACCTCCAAAGAAAGATGAAGAAAATGGGAAAAATTACTACTTTGTATCACATGACCAAATGATGCAGGATATATCAAACAATGAATATTTGGAATATGGCAGCCACGAGGATGCAATGTATGGGACAAAACTGGAAACAATACGGAAGATCCATGAGCAGGGACTAATTGCAATACTTGATGTAGAACCTCAGGTAACTAATTAGAAGTATTTGAAGATGGGACTGATCACAAATCCTTCAACCTTATTTTATCGAGATGTATTTATTTTTATTGATTGCACACTAGATAAGTAATGCATACAGTAATGTGGAACAAAAGTCCCTGGAACACCAAGGTATCAATCTGTGAAGTAGAATTCTGGTATTCATCTGGTTAGAAGAACATACAGCAGAAACAAATTCATAGTTTAGCTTGGTATGCAACCACTATAGCTTGAAAAGCTACTTACCATGTAACGTTTTAATATATTAGTCTCATGTCCAGTGAAATTTATCAAAACAAGTGATTGTCATTGCCTGCCAGGAGTAATGTTTCGGTATTTTCAAAAATTTCTCTTTGATGCTGTATTAGAGGGTAATAGTGTTATCTATTTAAATTTGCTGCCTTCTTTCTTCTTTGTGAATGGATTCAAGAAGTTAAAATTCTTTAAGAATTTCATAACAGAAATAAGATACCTGACTAAATTATTGAGGACAGTTCACATAGTATGCTGGTGTGGTGCTGTTCTGAAAAATAAAATCCCACACGTAACAGTATTCAGGGAGAGCAGCATTTATACTTAGTTCAAATGGAGCAGCTGTTAAAAGCAAACTCTCTCGATAAACCTTTTCAACTTGCATTATTCAGAAGCCTTGCACTTCTCAGAAGCCATTTGAATCTCTGTTAGAATATATTTACATTTGGTAACAGCCACCTTTGCTACACTTCCTCCAGCATGTGTCCAGCAAGCCTCTTTCTTAGCCAGCTTCCTCATGCATCCGCCTCAGCTCATTAAGGCCAGCCTGCCTGTGGACTTATTCCTAGTTATCTTACACCACTTGCCTGTTTTCCCTTGGGTACTCTTAGTTATGTGAGTTTTCTTGACTTTCACATCTGGAGTTTTATCTCTTGTTTAGAGGAGCTTGGCATAGATGATATATATAGGTGGGTTTCAAGCAGCAGAGATGAAAACCTCTTTAGCTTGGGAAAAGGATGGTTGGGGTTTTTGGTTGGGTTTTTGTTTGTTTGCTTTTTAAAGTTTGGAGAAGACAGGAAGTGGAAGGAGCAAAAAAAGACTGACCTTTAGTAGTCTTACTTTATCTTGTCCATCCGTTTGAGTTCACCTGAGATATGTTTACTTGCTGTCCTGCACTCCGGTCTAGCTTGGATCTGTACCAGTTTCACTTATGGCAGCTCTGTGTGTCACTCAGTAAATTATGACTAAGTCAACTTTTTAATGAGAACTCTTCTTTTGCATAGATTTGGTTCAGGGGATTGGTGCTGCATTTACTGCATTAGTGCTATGCTCACTTTTTAAAAACTTCACTATGCTTACTTTTAAAACTTCGAACTTCTCACATCACATTCTCATTTGTTTCAGAAAATAATGACAAAAAGTCTTGGCAGGTAGAAAAAGTCAGACAAAAAATTATATTCTAATCAAGATTTATTCTAAAATACAGTTGGCTCTTTTCCCTATTTATGGCATGACTGAATTTTTTTACCTGGTGTTAATCATTCAGTTTAAATGCAAACAGAATTCTGCAGTCTTTGAGACTGTATGGGAAGAGCCTCTCTGAAAATGCTAAAGCTTTCATTGCCTTGAAAACTCACTTTAATTAAGGATAAATATATAGTTTGACCACCAAGAATGTAAAATAATGCAAAAAGTTAAGTGTCTGTATTACTAAGGTCTTGACTCCAGATCAGTTAAAAACAAATACCAGCGTTGGTAAATCATAATTTTGTATCTTTTGCTTGTGTGACTAAACTTATTTCACATTGATTGCTGGGGGATTCTTCTAAAGTATCTGATTTTTTTTCACCTAGGCATTGAAGGTCCTGAGAACTGCAGAGTTTGCTCCTTTTGTTGTTTTTATTGCTGCACCTACGATTACCCCAGGCATTAATGAGGTATGGCATGTTGCACTCTAATGTCCTATCAGAGACAAAATTAAGGATGGCATTCAAATATGCAGATAAGACTCTTTAATTGTTTCCTTGTCTGTAAATGGAGAGGCAGAAAGACAATTGTATGGCAGCATTATTAAGTTGATTGAGGGGTATTTATTGTTTATTAACTGATTTTTCTAATTCAAAATATGACCTTCAAGTTGAAGGATCCACATGATGTATTCTAAAAATACATATTCTTTTATTTCATTCCCTGCCCTAGCTCAAAGATCCATTTCCAAATCCTTGACAAATCATTAGCACAAATTACTCAATTCTGAGTTGCAGTGCTAGCACTAGATTACAGCTGGCCTGAACTGAAGAAATGGGTGTGCGTGACTGTGCTGTCATCCCACCTCTATCTTTTAGTACAGCAAATATATATCAGAAATAGGCTTATTTATTTCAAAGACTGTTCTCTAAGAATTGGAAGCTTTGACCAAAGGTGTAATTGCTTGTGGAATAATGTTAAGTATTCATGGAGGCCCATATCCTGAATTTCCTACTTAGTTTTTGTAGAGTATCTGCTCTGCAGATTGCTACTGATTTCAAAGATGATATCAAGCAATTCTGGATTTAGCTCGCAACATGGCAAACAGTATTTATACAAACACTTTAACTGCTCAGCCTTTTATAAACCGTGATATTAAGGTATTTAATTAACTGGATTTGACCATGAATCTATTCCAAATCTCCTAGATGTCTCCTTGATCACGCAAAAATAAAGTCAGAAGCCATGTCTCTACAGCCTGTTTCTATAGAAATGTAATTACAATATCATAAGTATGAAACTATGACATCACTGCAGAGGCTTGCGGGAAAATAAGGAACAAGACAAACATATTTAAATGCAAATACCCTGAATGATTGTTAAAATAGCAAGTAGAGAGTGAAAATTATTGGCCTCGAGCTGCAATTTTATTGGCAGCTGAGGCATTCTACTAGTTCGCTGTTGCTGAAGGGAGTGATTCTCTCTAACTTGCTTCTGGGACATATACTGCCAGTCTGCACTGGCTGTGGCGCTTACCAGATCCTTTAGTGAGCCACTTTAGCTCTAAATTGGATTTTTTTCAGTTTTCAAGCAGCTCACAAAGGCTCTGACAAGCACCAATGCCTTGAAAGCATATAGCCACTGCAAAGTAGTGAAAGCATATAGCCACGAAGAGAGATGGGAGGGGGAAGAAGGATCTTTTAACTTGCACAGCAGTAAGTTATGTCATTTCACTGTGGCGTATGGATCCGTACGCTAACTGCTAAATGTCACGAGTGTACAGACGAAGATCTCTCAGAACATCACAATTTGCAATGTTCATGAAGTGACAGTTTGTCTAACTGCTGGTGTTGGTGTGTGCTGTAAATTGGTATGATCTTGAGAAAATACTAAAACTTTGTATTCTACACTGAATTTGCTTTTGTGCAAGCAAATGGCATGGCATCACTTAAAAATAGCTAGAATCGTTCTTAGGATGTGTCAGGCAAGCATTGTGCTTACAGCAGCGCTCAGGCAGCCAGGTACCCTGTGGAATGATGTAATTGCCTGGGTTTGTTGCCTCCATACCTGTGTCTCAGCTCCCAAATAGTCTTCCTTGGCCTCACTCATCTGCCAGTGGTACTTAACTTTTAATCTTCCAGCTGTAGGATATAATACAGAGACATTTGGGACAGTTCATACGGGGGAGAAAACGTTTTGCTTAGTACACTGGGAAGAGGACAGAAATGTACCTTTTATAGTAGTGGTGGGGAAATATTTGTTCATGCCAAAGAAATATTAGTAGAAGTAAAGTATTATGTTTAAATATTTGCATTCGTGCTGTAAGACTGTGTCTTTATTTTAAGTTCTTGTGACTGAAGTCTCTGTGCACACAGGGTTTCACTCAGGCACATGAATTGCTGAACTGAGGCCACACTTAAAAAGCATGCTAATTTATGAGTCAGTTAAACTTAAGGAAAGGGAGGAGCAGGAAACGGTAATAGCAACAGACCTTACCCGAATACAGGATCCTATTTTCCAAGGTTTACTGGGCTGCATGAAGGGAGATATGCAAATTGTGTCCGTGTGTTAGCAGCCTGCAAGGCAGCAAAACAAGGGTGGAGAGTGTGTGTTTCATATTTCCCATTCATGCTTTCTTTTCAAAGGTTCATTTGCATAGTGAGTATCCCTTTCTGTTTATCCTCTTATCCTGCTTTGTTTATTTCACTTACGCTTTTTGAGAATAGTTCTGTAAATGACTGTCCTTTTTTCCCCCCTTATGTTTTCTTAAATTTCATCTTTGCTTTTCTTTTCATTTTCCTGCACTCGTACTAATTGTACATAGCTGCCAAAATGGTGCAGAAAATTGCCTGTAAGTACCAGCTAGGGGCTGACAAGGTAGTCCTGGTTATTTCAGTAGTTTTAGAATGTAGATATGCTTGTTCCCATTCAACGTTACTTTTGCCATTGGAATAAAAATTTAATGTAATAATGACTTCAGATATCTGCGCTAAAATTATCTGCTAGTAAAAAGAAACTAGAGAGTAAAATTTCTACTCTTACAGCTATACATCTGAACTTTGTGGTAAAATCAGTGCAGAGACCTGATCTTAAAAGTATCTCTCTTGAGACACTTTAGGCTATCATAGACCACACAAAATAGCTCAGTAATCAAGGATCACACAGCAAGAGGTAGGAGGCAAAATATTGTACTTTCCAACTGAATATAGCAGTGCACCACGAGCAATTCTGCAAAGCACAAAACCAGTTTAAATCATAAAGGAAATCTCCCAGAGTGTATCCACCTGTCTAATCACAAAGGAGACTTAAATCAGATTATTGCTGTGCTAAAACAGAAAGAGGAGAGGGCGTATCAGGAAACACTGGAGTAGCTCCTCTTTCCTCCAGCTGTTTTCTACCTCCCATTGCCCAGACAACAGCAAAGAGGAGTTGACAGGCTCCACTTTTTTGATCTAAATCTTTATTGAGCCATGTGTAAATCTTTACTGAGCCAAATTCTTCTGAACTTTCGCTATGCTTCCTCCCTTCCTACAGCCAAAGTCTAAAAGGAATTTTTCTTAAGAAGTTTGCAGTCCACCAGCTGTTTAAATTGAGGAGAGTTTCTTTCTGTTGGAGCAGAATTGGCAAAGGCCTGATGGTGTGTTTATACATTGTTCACAGCCTTAGAAGGGAATATTAGTAATTTGTTAGGCTGTGCTTTGACTGTCACAAGCAGCAACTATTGTCCTATGAACTTGAAGGCCAAAAAAACCCAGCCCTCACAAACTGAAGATATCACTGGTGGCCATTATGCACGTGGGAGAGATTTTGTGGATAAAAGCCATGTTTCTCTTCTTTCTGTCCCAGCTGTGGTGGAGAAGGAGAGAAGATTAGGAAAGTGAACTGAATTCTAGTGATAGGAAAGAAAAGTGTGTTCCAATAATGGACACACTGCAGCTAGACCCACATAAAATGGGCCTGTTGCATGAGAGCTGGGGGAAGAAGAAAAGACAGATGTTCTACTCCCAAATGTGAAATTACTGAAGTTGTGGCCATTCATTTGTCTGTCTGCAGCTAGCTGGACATTTTGATAAGTATCTTCTTTCTTGACACTATTGAGAGCACAACTGCTGGAAAATATTCTTCTTGGAGAATAATCTGGGATGTTCACTATTCAAAATCGAATTAAGAAATTTTAGAGAAATTGAGAGGAACTTACTACAGCAAAAATTTTGAGGAAGTGTTAGCTTCAAAGATTAATTTTGGCATTTAAGACTTACAGACACAGAGGAAACACTTAGCCAAGTCTGCCATGGTTTTGAATGTACAAATAGATACTCTATCTCAAACACAGGTGAAATTTGGTCCCAGAATAAAACAAAAATCAAGAACTGTAATCGCTTTTCTTTTTGCAGGACTTGAGAAAGTTTGAACCTATTTGAAAACTGCTGCAATGGCCTGTCCCAAACTTACTACTGCCCCTAAAAGTATATGAAAGAAGTAATGTTTTACATTTCCAACAGGCTAGGAAATTTAAATATTCCAAAATACAACCACTTTATTCCCAGTAAAGTTGGATCTAGGAGAAGCTAAGTCAGAAAAATATTAGAATTTAATGATTTTTTTGAAATCTTAGTTTTGTGACCTCTATGTGTGCAAGGTAAATATTAGTATTCATTCTTCTCTGCGTACCAGTTGTTGTTCTTAAGATGAGATAGTTGTACGTTTTTCAGATTTTTATTGTCAGTCACAGTAAGATAGATGCTTTAGTGAGAAAAGTTCGTTCTCATACTTGTAGGTAAAGATGACGCTGATGGGAAATCTGAATAGCAGTTAAAAAGCTACATATGACTTAACAATTCTAAGGCTCCATGGGGTTTTTTCAGGTACTGTTAGCCTTGTGCCATGAGATTAAAACCCTTTTAAAGGTGCAATATGATTTTGCTAAGACTGGCTTTAAATATAAAATTAATCTTAGCTAGATATGTTTAAAGCACTGAAAATATTCTGCTTGACAAGTATGAATTTTTTTTTTCCTTTGTAGGTTAATTTAAGCAGAGAAGTTTAAATCCTCTGCTGATACAAATTCATGTCTCTCTTGGAATCTATGAGAAGTTGGCAGTTTACCTAACTAGGTTTTTGGCTTAAAGACACTGGGCCATATGAAATGTTCCACAAAAATATTTAATATTAGTATTGACCCATATTGTCCAATTTGTTAATAGCATAAATTGAATTTGCATGCACTGGTATTTTCTACGGAAGTTCCAGGCATCGCTGGCAATGCATAATGGTCCATACAAGGAGCATCCTTTGTACAGAAGCGCATGTGAGAAGTATTTGTCTGACTTTGAATGAAATTTGTAGTGGTTACCAAGTGAAGGTGACATCCCCCCCTCGTTTGAGGCTGCAGCTTCAGGAGAGAAGCAGAACTGTAACTTTGGTACAGAACTTCTCCTCCAGAAGTGGCTGGTTTCGTAGCTACAGGGAAGGAGAACTGTCTCAGTGCAGGTTGTTCCCTTCAGAGGACCTGAAAGCCGCTGTTCCACAGCTACTTGCCACTGTAATTACAAATACTTGGAAGTTTAAACAGAAAAAAGGGGAGGGGGGAGTCTCTTATTAGCTGGATAAAATTCTGTTCCCAGAATAATTTCTTGTGAAACCAGCTATAGGCACCGCGTCTGTACTTCCTGCAGCCTAGAACTCGGTTATAATAAAGCATGTCCCATTGATTCATCGAGTAGGGTGACCCTATAGATACTACAGAGCAGCAGGAGTCTATACTGTTCATATGTAATTTTGCCCCATATCCACCCCAAACCTGTGGGGCGGGAAGGACTTGATTACTTTCCTGCGGCTATTTCAAGGTTCCTGAAAGCAGCAAATGATTTTTTTTTCTTTTTTAATTTCTAAGGGAATTTGCAGGAAGATAATTCAAACTTATAATTGCTGCAGAGCCCTAGAAAGAAGCCTTTCGCAATCCCGCTCTCTCAGAAAGGCAGACCTCGCTAACAAAGCCTGTCACTGTAGCGCTGCTGGCTGCTGGCCCACAAAAGTAGGCCATCCCACAAAGTAGGATGCGCTTGTTCTGTAAGGACGTTGACACAAAGCCACGGAGAGCACCAGTCTGCTGTCGCTGGCCCTTCTTGAGCGCAGGCTGTGTGGTTCGTCTTCAGGATCTCCCACTAAGAGATGCTGGAAATGGCATGCTCTGAAATAGGAACCGCAGGGTAGCGCGGAGTGAGAACTTCCTTATCAGTAAATGATTATTAAAGGAAGTAGACCCAGAAGACTGACGTTGAACAGAAAACATTACCAAAACCGGGAACAGCCGATACCTGACAATATACCCTCTCCTGTTTCTCGTGTTCTTACCTGAACGTAGGCCCAATAGCTCGTATTTGTGCACTTTGTACGTTTTAGTCGTATATGGTCTCCATTGCTCATGTCTGTGCTGCTTTTCTAAGCTTCCATCCTCTGCCTTGCTTTTTTAACGCTAGAATTGTGTTTTGTCTCAAGTAATGTCAATAACTGAGTGCTGTTTGAATGTCAGCTTCAAGAGAGAAATTGTGCCATTTCTCCCGTGTGATTTCCATAGATTTAGGTGGGGGATCTCAACCACCTAGGCCTCCCTGGGGCTTTTTTGCCCGTTTCCGTCTCTGTAAGCAACAGTTAGAAAGCTGTTGTAGAAGAGTACGAAAGGATCCAACTTTTCTCTCTCCCATTTTCTTTTCTGACCGCCGAACAGGATGAATCTCTTCAGCGCCTGCAGAAGGAGTCTGAAATCTTACAGAGAACATATGCACACTACTTTGACCTAACAATTATCAACAATGAAATTGATGAAACTATCAGGCACCTGGAGGAAGCCATCGAGCTTGTGTGTACAGCCTCACAGTGGGTCCCGGTCTCCTGGGTCTACTAGACCGGTCACGAGAGAATTGAAAAAAAAAAATCTGTCATTACTGGGAACCACCTCATACATGGAAAACCTCTTCGTTATTGACCTTTTGTCAACAGGTCTTGGCCCCTAGAGACTACCTAGATGTAGTGTGACCTAAAATATAATTATTGTCATGTCCGAATAGATAGGAGGAGGGGGAAAAAAATTAAACACTAATTTAAAGAGACAGTATCTTTTTTTAATCATTTCTCCTAAACTTTAATAAAATGTATCTTTAAATATATGTATTATTCAGTCCTTTGGAATGTTATATTTTTGGAAATCATAGCTTTTTATTTCAAGGGCCCCTAAAAACTGCACAAAATAGATGCTGCTTTCTATAATCTATTTTAATAGTAATAATAATATGATTCTGTTACCTTAACTCGGGGGTGGAACACTACATTCTTTTTAGAGTCTGATTTTATGGATTGGAATACTTTGCTTTCCTTTATTTATTTGAAGTAATTAGTCTAGTGGTTACGAAACAAATTCATAAATTTTAAAGGCCTTTTTTCTCTTTTTTTTTTTTTTCCCTAGGATAGTATTTTTAAGTACTTTTGTGTAACATCCAGGTAACGTGATACTGTCTCTTTGAAGAACTCTGTAAAACTTTTAGAAATTTGAAATTGGGTCTTGACTCTTAATGCATGTGGACAGTCGCAAGCGTTCATGCTGTTGGTGTATCTGTGTTGATAAAACCTGTAATCTACAGCAAAGTACATTCCGTTCATGGGAACACGTACCCAAGGGAATAAAGTAAAATATTATTCTGACTAAGTTGTAAACCTATGCACATCCCTTGCATTTTGGGCAACTTTATAAAAAAAAAAACTGATTTTTATTAATAATAATCATGTAGTGAAATGTGTTTGTAATTTTGTCTCAATTTAATTTGTTGTAAGGTGGGAGGGGGCAATTACTGGTTTCACCACTTCAGATCTGTGTTGTCTGAGAGTATTAACGTTTTAATTAAGTTTAAGCAAAGAAGTGCTGATTTTTAATATGTATGTAATTGTTTAAAAATGCACACATTTTAAAAGAAAATACTGTGCAATGAAGAAACCAGTTTAGGCATTGCGATAAACTGACTATTCCAAAAGACTCATCTACAACAGCCCTGTAAATTCCTTTAAAAATGGTAATTGACTCTACAGTCTGACCAATTTTTTTTATTTTAAATATACTTCCTTTTATGTGTTCAACAATTAAATGCTTTTGGGTCCTTCATTTCATCGCAGGGAGTTTCAAGAACAAGTCAGTGACTTGTGCAGTGAGAAGAGGTTTCTTCAAGTCTGTTTAGGGAAGGCCCCTATAGGGGCACAGCCTGTACTCTGTTCCAGGGGCTCTGCTCCGCCCGTACGGGCACAAGTTCAACTAGTGCAGAATTAGAGCAGAGCCAAGTCAGAAAATTTAAGCATGTGCTGACCTGGTGTTCTGTTTCCCTTCTTCATGCTCTCACTGGCACAGACGGTTTGCATTTTTTTCTGAAAATGGTTAGCAGAAGCAAGCATTGCCACCTCTTTTTAGGTGTCGGAAATACAGCGTTCCTTAAAATGATTTGTCTTCAAAGCTTGGTTGGCTGTGCTGTTGTATAGTTTGAAGTTTAGTGTTTATATTAAAATGATACGGTGTTCTCAAAGGATTTATCCTCAAAGTTGAACTATCAGCTGTAATTGATCTGTGGGCTGTTCCAGTTGTTTGGGACCACTGCACGTGTAATCAGAAAAGGTTCTCACCTTTTGGTGGAATCTTTATCGTAGGGGTAATTATCATGAAGTGCATAGGTTGCTCATTTTCTCCTGCTTGCTCCTACTGCAGGGTCGGGTGGTCAAATCTCTATTCTTGTGAAATCCTTAGGCAAAATCTAGGTCCAGCTAGGCATCCCATCCAGCCAGGTCAGGCAAGGTGTTTGTTTTGTGCAGCATTCACAGCACAGCTTGCAGCCTGCAGCACGGAAGGGAACTTGATCCGTCGCTTTACCCCGCCTGCTGAACCCCCTTATGCTACAGCTGGAATCACAGTTCTTGTGACTGTGTCCCGAAACAAGTACTGTAACCGAGTCCCTTGAGCTTGTAGTTTGTGGAGTGCTGGAAACTAACCGATGAGAAACTGTCTGTGTGGGCCTCGCATAAGCAAGCCGGCGAGTGAGAGGGAGCCTATCGGAGTAATAGGAGCTGCTCATCTGTTCTGAATTTAGCCCCTGTAAAAGGGGATAGGTGCAAACTGTGAACTATTTAGTGAGTAAGAGGTAATTTTTCAAGTAGTCCTGCCGTGTCAGTTTAGTCCTGGATGAACCTTAGCAGGTGTTCCTGTAGATCAGCTGTTGCAATGGTAGTGTTAAACACCAGCTGAGCTCATCGAAGTGACGGGTTCGTTCACTCTCAAAACTACCTCTTTTCCCAGTAAAGCACAAAGATGGGAAGACCGATTGAAAATCAAGCAGTGGAGTGTTTCTGATGTTAGAAATACAAACTACTTCTCTGGTAAGCATTGGTATCTGACTTCAGTGACACCTTCTTCATCTCAAATATTTATGACATTAAACAGGTAAAGTAATTTTGATAATTTGGGTATAGTCCACCATAAATGTTTTGACTACATGCTTTTGACTCTGTTAATGTGAATTTCTTGGAGTTTCTGTGTATCCGGCCTGTAAGGAAAGAAAACTCATAAGGCCCATGAGGGTGCTTCTGCCTTGTGTAGATGACAATAAGTAGTGATTTAATGTAACTAATACGCTTTTCTTAAGTGGAGCTACCATTCAGTTAATATTACACAGTAGAAAGACTAACTTGGAGAGCTTTGTTTCTTTTATTCTCACTGTATAGCCTTTTATCAAGAGACAAAAACTGTAAAGCACATCAGTTAGCATAGTGTCCTGCCTCCTCTTTACCACAGACTGTTTTCCTTGTAGGAACCTTCGCTAGCACAAGATTAACTTGGAACCCCCCTAGGCTTTAAGTACAGCTGAACCACGCAGCCCAGTGAGCTCTGTGAACCGCTTTCAGCACAGTCCCAGGAAGCGCAGAGCAAGCCCAGGACTCCTCAATCTGCCCGATCCATGCCTCCCCTGCCTCCTGCCCTGCCCAAACCCTTCTGATGCGTCTCTGTTATTTGTGTGGTACGTAGAGGGCAGAAGGCGGCCATAAATTCAGCTGGAAGCTTCGCTTGCATAGGGAAGACTCGTGCAGGTGCAGAGCTAATGCTATGATTCTTTTATTTTTTTTCAATCTCCAACTGGAGAAAGGTCCTCCTAGTACTGTAAATATCACTGCATAATTTAGAGCGGCTCTTGGACTTCTCTAAAGTTATGCTGAATGTGACCTCAGAAGCAGCCCTGGGATTGGGAAGAAACAAATGTTTCTGTTTGCCCCTTTTATACTTTATTTTTGTACGGGGGCTCATAGATTTGTAAAGAAAACTTGATCTTATCAGTATGCTGCCTCTCAGTCTGACTGATGCCTGTGATTTCAAGGTGTTAAGTTGGTCCAATAAATGTTCATTAACCTTTGCTTCCATTTACTTAATAAAAGTACACTAGGTTATTCAATGTCTCAGAGTGGTAAGATTATTGCATGGAAATGGTAACCTAGTTTAGACAATCCTGGCCACTGTCATGCAACCCACAGCATGCAACTGTTCAAAATCAGAGGGACATTTTTAATCTCATCACCAAAACTGACTTCTTCCGTATGTTTTAGCATTGGTTTTCTTTTTATTTGATTTGGGTCAAGAAAGATGCTGAGCCACTAGCCTCGTAAGTGAAAATATCGCTACCTACTTCAGAAACTTCATTAGCAAGGTTACTCAGTTGATTTTGAAAGGACAGCATAGAAGATGAGATGTTACAGCCTGAGCAGCATTGAACTGGAGTGTATGCTTCAAGAACTGGATACTAGAGCCGGTAGGAAAAGTTAATGCACAGACTAACTTCAGTGTTTGTTCCATTTTTATTCTTTTCTCTAAGAAAATTATTTCAGAGTGCTATTACTTAAACAAATACTTGGAAATGCTGCTAAAGCTCACGTTGTTTTTTGCAAATCTAGATTGAAATATTAGATGCAAACAGTTCTGGTCCCATTCTCTTCCGCTGCAGTTAGCTCTCAACATCTTCAATGAAGGCAGTTAGACTCAATTTCAGGCTTTAAAATACTTGGTAGAAGAGGATTTGTGAAAACTACAGGAAAAGTACATTTCTCGACTGACTTGAGTAGGAGTCATCTGTTTTTATAAGCTAAATTGATAGAGTATGAGCTAAAGCAGACACCACAAAAAGTCTGCTTTCTTTATGTAAAGCATATTCATTTTCTTAATAAGCTTGTCTCTCAGACGAGTTTCTTCACTACTTTTAATGAGCTAAGAGATACCCATAACTCTTACCAAGGAGACTGCTGCTGCACATTATGTCAAACAGTCGCATATGAATTAAAATATCTGCACAACAGGAAATATATCATAGACAAGCAGGGCAGAAGTAGCGTCTCCTGAATGATTGTGCCTTGTGTGCGTACCATAAGGATGAGAGCACAAGCTTAAGTTAGAGGAGAGTGTATTTTTTTTCTAATGCTACACAAAAAATACAAAGCCAGTTCCAACGTTTAAATGGTTACCATGGGGTTTTTTTCACTTGCTGATACACACAGTTAGTGCACCTACAGTAATTTTTACTTTCCTCCCCTTATGTGATTTTTAGCAGTCTTCTGCTCCAATCCTGTGAAAGCTGGACTGAAGCAAGTGCAGAAGCTCTTTGACTCCTTATGAGTCTCAGAGTTAAAGGCTTTTACAGCCTCTTTCCCAGACCTGTACGTTACATAAATAATTAATTCTTACCTCGGAAATATGTTTCCCGTAGCTGTAATCTCAGTTAAGATTTTAGACAGTTAGAAAGTTGATCGCTTTTCATGTAGTCTTAACCTTTCGAAGAAAAAATAAAGGGGGGGGTGGTATGTGCATGTCCATGCATTCTGCTGTATCTCTTCTTAGCAACTGCCATGGGAAGATCAGTAACAAGCAAATTAAATCTGGCCACATCTCTACTGTATGCTCCTACGATTAATGTGTAGCTTGACCCTGGTTTTGTGTTGTGGAAGATAACTGAGCTAGTAGCACATTTCACGCTGTATCTTTGAAAGAGTTCATGTTCAGTATTAGCAAAGTAATTGCAAATTTTCCCGTATCAGTAGCCATAGCTAATTTTTCTATCTGCATAAAGGAAATACCCAAGGGGAAGGGAGGAAT